AATACCCATGGAAGAGCCACAAGACTTACCCGAACAACCAGTAAGTACATTTAAAAAGGCTAAAAATGAACATATTAAACAAATTGGTGATCTCGCAAATTCAGTGTACAGTTATTTTGATTAATAATGGAAAATAAGGCTTATACTTAGTGTATTTATCTAGAGGTGAAAAATCATTTTACTGTTAGTAAAATTTGTACATTTAATTTACTATAATCGTACAGGCAATATTAATAAAAGGAATAGTTATGTATGCTTAAACTCTATACTGTTTCTATGTAAAATAATTACTTGTTATGCTCAGAAAACCAGACTATTTCGAGTCTGTTCTAGAGAAATTAAAATTCACTATTTTAATGACAGAATCAGCATTCTGGTTATTACAGTGTATATAGTTTTTAATTCTTCTTGTGCTTGGGGTCTTGAAAAGGTCCCATGAGCCATCATCTTCACAGGTAGAAAGCATTTTTATTAATTCTTAATTTAACAGTGTGTTCAACTAGGGAAGCATGTCTTAAGTTAAAAATTCCTGTCCAGACATTTTACATATTTGCACTACTATGTGTATTACCAGTAACTGATAATATCACGTCACAGAAGTTTTGGGTGGAGTGATTATTAATACAGTATGATATGAAGTTAAATTTGTATATCTAAAACATAATAGCATAGGGATTAAGTGAAAAAGTTTGTATTAATGTTATATTCCCAAATTAAACCTGATGCAAACTCAACAAGAAATTGCTGAGTTACCTTGAAAATGAAGCTTATTTTAATTTTGGAGACTTTTTCAAATGCACACAAAAATAGAGTAATATGCTGAGGGCAATTTGGTAATGTTCTCATTGAAAAGATTTTTATGCTTTTGTAATGTGAGAATTTTATGTTCTTCAGGTAACTAGTTAGAAAATACATTGTAATGTCATTTATGCAATTTTATGACTTAGGAACAAAGTTGAATGAAATGGAAATGTAAATCTACAATTGTTCAAAATATTGCTTGACACAACATGCAGATTATGTGCCTGAGTCAATATGCAAAAAATGTGAAACTAATCAGCAAAAACATATAATTTGAACTCCAGATATTTGTAGGATTTAAAAATGAATTAAATGTGTGTATTAAAAAAGGAAATATCTGTAATTACATCCTTATATAATGAAAACTATCTTTATAAAATTTTATTCTTCAGGGCATGAGAGACAGGGTACACCTAATTTTCGGTATATGAAAACATTCTCTGTAAGCAGATTCTGCTGAAGATTTTCTTGGTAATTTCTTTTAAGTATCTTACACCAGTCAGTCATTCTGAGACAAACTATGAGGCTATATTGATCACAACTTACTAGTGAGGTGCTATTTTGAGTATAGTGGCACATTCTTGCAGGAGGAAATGAAAAGAACAATCTTTTTGTTTTCTTGTAGTGAGACCATTCCTGAAACAAGTGAATTTTGCTAATTAAAAAGAAAACAAACTAAAGTCAGCTTTGCAAAATCCTGTCAGCCTAGTAGTCCAACGTTGATATTGTACAAACTTGTTTTCTTTCCCAAATGATTTTGCTTTTCTTAATCACGGGAACAAGATTAGTATGTTACTTCAAAAAATAAGGATGTTTATGGCAAACTGTTGATAGCTGAATCCAGAAAGGAGCCTGCCGAGAAGTCATCAGGCTTTGAGTTCAATGTATTTACTTCAAAAAAAAAAAAAAAAAAAAAAAAGAAATCGGCTCATATTCTTGTGTTGGTGTGGGCTGATGGTAATAATTGGTCCAAATGTATACAGTGTGTCTTTTCTAAATGAGTGCTAGGCTTATCACTTACCCCACATACTGCTGCCTGGCACGTTAAACAGGCATGTCTTTTGTCCCTGTTTTTTGAATGTTTCTTCCCTTTTTAAGTCTGAATTAGAATGGAAAAGTTTCTGTGCGCACCGCAGTGCTACTGAACAGAAACAGACATGGGAAATAAGAGAGCAAAAGGAAGTTTGGGGGAAAATGATCGAAAGTGACCTCCTTCCTCTTATGACAAAAAAGTTACTAATTTATAATAAGTTATTAATCTGGATTAGTTTTTAGAAGTAATCCTGTATAGTAATCTCTCACTTGTTGAATGCATTGTGGATGCATATAGTTGACTTTTATAATACTTTATTTAATCCTTAAAGCTAGAAAATGACAAAAATTCCTTTTTATAAGGAATGGTGAACTTGTGTTACACTGTTGTGGTTTAACCTCAGTCGGCAACTGAGC